AATTCTAATGTGCTCATTGGAATCTCCTAGTAATGTGACCTAGATATTTTTGCACCTGCTAGACTTTTTATCTTTGAGACCTGCCTTCACTTTAAGCTTTAGAAAATGTATGTTGGTGTGCAGTGATCCGGTTGAGCAAAGGAAGAAGGAAGCAGTTCATAAATAATAATAAATGTTTCTGAGATCACAGTGTGAACAGATGAGAAAAGCTGCAAACTGAAAGGCCAAGCTGGCCTACAAATGTTCCACATAAAAATGCTTTTTTTGTGCCTTGTAAATTATAAAGCTTTTATTAAATGTTTTGAAAGAGGAAGCAAAGCATTTGGGTCATTTTGTACGTGGTTTCCTGGAGTGTAGTGATTGGAAAATGGAAGCGGAACATTTAAGGATTTAAGAGTACGTGCTGTGCTGCAGAAAAGTAGAGATTTCACTCTTTGGTTCTAAGCAGCAAGGAACGTGCTTTGGTGTGGCATCTGAAGGAAACCCTCTCCATCTATAAGACCATTGCCTATTAAAATGGGAAATGTTCTCAGTTTGGTTTTTATCTGGCATATCCAGCAGTTAATGTTTCTTACGCAACTTTTCAAATGTAAATGTTACAGGGAGCGTAAAAACTGAGAAATGTTTGAAGTGTGATGTAACTTGTATGTTCTTCTGTCATCCCGTTAGCATGCATTATGAGGTGAGTGTTAATGAGACCACTGAGTCATGCTGACCGCTTGCTGCTTCCAAAAGGGCAGTATCTGAACTTCATCCTCGCCCCCCCGCCCCCCTCCTGCAACTTGTGTGATTCTCTCCTTTGTGCCTGTTCACACAGCCCTTAGTAACACACAGCCATTGGTAAGTCAGTTTTTCCTCACTAAGCAATGAACAACAAAATTCCATTTTTTCTTTCCTGCCAGGTGAGGGAAGTGACCTGACTCATCAGCAGCTTAGGTAATGAAAGAAGGAAGGGGGCTGAAGTGGCAGGAAAGGCAGCATGCAACCATCTCCGTCACTGCTGCTAAGCTTTTAGATTGGCTCCATTATCTTGTGAAGCCTCACCCTTCGAATGTGGTTATGGGGGTGCTGGCTGTCTTCAGGAGTTATTATCCACATTCACAGTTGCTGATTCACTTGGGAAAGACTAGTAAAATAAAGTCAGTGTTGCAGGTTTGCTGACAGCTCTTGAGGTTCCTCTCTTCTTTGGTTTTCTGTGGTCCTACAGCACTATTTTTAGTCTCTATTTACCCATCTTCTCTTTTCATTGATACTTCACCTTGTAAACTATTCACACATTTTCTCAGTTTTTCTTGTTTGCTTTGGCTTTTGTTCTCAGACCATGAAGAATTAATCAAAACTGGATTTCTTCTGCAGTCCTGATAAGTGTTAACCTGTAGTAAGATTGGTGTTCCAGGTGAGCTGAATTAAACTTAACTGCTTCTGAAGGGGTCATTTCATCCCTTCTCTGGCAGTGTATTCTCACTGCTTCATGTGAGCTAGCTTTGGTGTTCATCTGGTGCTGTGATGGGCTGGTCTGGGGAGCCAGGCGACAGAAAATTAAGCAGAGTTTTAAGTTCATCTGGCTCCGTCAGCCAGCTCCCCATAGCATAAAAGGAACAGTGGGCTTGGCCTGAGGACGGAGAGCCATAAACACACAGGCAAGAGGTTCTTCAGAGGATTGCTGAAAGGGGAGAAGCTGGACCATCTGTTTCAGCAGTAGTTCTCCATTAGGTAGATAGGGCTGTAACGTGGTACCACATCCTGAAGGTAAACACCTGGCTGCTTTTGCTTAAAGTTGAGTGCGGGAGGATGATCTATCACAACTTTTCTATCCATGGGATGCTTCCATAGAGAAACTTTTCAGCCCTTGCAGCTTTTTTCCTCCCACATTAAGAGTCCTAATACGCTTTTTATTAACAAGAGTTTGTACTACCAATATTTTCATTGTCTTCATTTGCCTCAAATATTTTTTACATTAACCTTGTCACAATGTATGATCGAATACAGCAGCACATTAACTATACCCTATAAATTTAAACCAAGTCTATTATTCTTTATAGCAATCAGTCACATTTATATTTGCTGTGCATTTTAAGTTTAGAAGGGCTAGAATTCCCAGGGTTTTTTTTCTCAGGATCAGTAGTTATAAATTTCTCAGTGAAGGTAAATCTTAATTTTGCTGCCAACATTGTCCAAGCCAAGTAGAGGTGTCAGGCAGAGTTTCCTTTTCCAGATCATTGGGGGTTCAGTTTGCAGGCATCTGGAATGCCAGAGGTGGACCTTAAGATATTGTGTTATGCCTTCATTAATACTTATTAAGCCATGTCTTTTTGTAAGGAAGGAGAAACAGCTCTAGATTTAAGAGAGTTTATATTTCTTAGCAGCATTAGAAGTTTCTGCTTAGTATGTGTCTGTTCATTTTACCAGGGTTGGCTGTTTTCTCTTGCATTAACAAATAAGCAGCACAGCTCAAAAGCTGTAAGGCTATTATCTTTAACTTGTGTTTATATATTTGTGGTCTGCTGAGTAGAATAATCCCTTGCTTTTTAATATACTGTTTTGTGGCATAAAGCATAAATGTCACGTCCCTTTCTGTTTTATGACTGAGAAAAATGAGGCCCAGTTTATTCATTCATAACACTCATGTAAATCCTCTGATACTTCTCCTTTTTCATTAGAGCTGATTCAGATTTCACACTGTAACACTGTTTTTCATACCCAGTCTTTTCCGTCCATTTGTGCTTTACCAGCATTTTAGGTAGTTACTTCGCTTCACAAGGATTGGTAAGGTATTTATTGAGAAAGCAGAGTCTTCCAGTTTACCAAGAAAGTCTGAAAACAGAAATTGGAGAGGAGTGACAAGTAGGTTAAAAATATCAAGTTAGTCCTTAGTAAGGAATATGATTGTGTATGTATATGTATGTTTATAGATAGGAGGGCGTGTGTATGTGTGTGTTTTTATGTTTGTGTTTATCTGAATCTATCAGATGGATGTCTAGATACATCTAAATATTGTTTGATGGCTAGAAACTAGGCTTTGTGACAACATATTTTGTTGTTTCCTGCTGTGTCAGTGTAGAAAAGGATGAGTGTGTACATACAGAATTCATCTTCCAAGGACATGTCATGATTTAATTTTTTTTCTGAAGCAGTAGGGTACAAAAGTACCCTAGGATTATGCTCCTTAAAAAGCTCTGTAACTATTTTTCTTTGTGTTATTATTTGCTCATGTCTTGTATTAGGTACCCATTAAATGAAGTAAAGTCTTTATCAGAACATAAGGACTCATTCACGAGCACAAATGTAAAAATAAGCGCTGTTCAAATGCAATGTCAAGTTATTTTGGGAACACAACTGTATTGCACTGAACAAAGGTAGTATCATTTACCCTCTTAGATACCAGAGCGTTTAGTTCTTGGTATTCTTAGCAGTACTCATTAAATCAAAGTATTTCTGAAGCCTTATCCTAAAAAAGTTCAGTAACTTCACCTTGAATAGCCCCATTGGAATTTGAAACAGATTTGTGGCAGAAACATGTGGTCGAAACAGCTGTCACACAAAACCGTTTTAAAAAACCCTGAAAGTCTGGTGAACTCGGAAATCTGTTGTGCATGTTGTTTTGACTTTTTTTAAAATGAAGATAATACTTAAATACATCCTTCAAGGAAAACCTCTAATGTAGGTCTTTAACATAAAGTCGTAGCTAAAATAAACTGGTGTGCTTGGACAGATGTGCCTTTTTAACATAGGGCTTAAGGACTTCAAATTTATAGCTCGCCTTTCCTGTGGAATTACAAATAGTTTGATATTGTACGTCAATGGAGGCATAAAAGTCACAGAAAACAAAACAGGATTTGGACAAGGATCAGAGAGGGAGAGAGAGTCAGCATGGAAGCATCTGTCTTATGATCTTGGATTCGATTAAAAAATTTAAAATTCTGTCATTGTGTCAGTGTAATTTCTCCAAAGCAAAGTTAGGAAATGCCAGTTTGTTTCCTGACAGTCGCTCTGATTTCATTACCCGGCATACCAGGATGGGGAAGGGGGGGTCCAGGCTGCCTGGGGAGAAGCAGAGTGAACTGTTCCCTCTGCCGCTTGCCAGCACTGGGGCATTTCCCCCGCCTTGGGGACACTTGTTTCTGACCTGCCCTGGCCGTTTCTTGTCTCATGGGCGAGTTAATATCTCAGGGAAATAAAGGGACAAGGTTTGGTTTAGTAAAAAGAAGAGGGAGTCTATAGTGCAAAGGGTAACAGAGCATTGAGATGACATCTACCAATTTTCATACCATGTGATTTACAGAAAATTCCTGCAAGATTGAATAGATTATTAAAAAAACAAAAAACCAAAACCAAACCAAAAGAAGCATAAGCAGATTTCACAAGATGCTCTGATTTTTAACATTTGAAAACTGGTTTATGTGAATGATTTTGCAGTTTACAATGGTTTTGTATGGCAGTGTCAACTCCAAATGGAAAAATAGGTGGACTGGAATGGAGAATATTTTGAGTGGAGCAATAAAAGGAGATGGGAGGGTGTAAATATTTCATATACCATAATGGATGGATGAGATGATAGTAGACGTGAGTCAGAGGTATGATCATGACAGCTATACATAAAACAACATCAAAAACTCCAGTTTTTGGTAGAAGGGTCACTGGAAGAAAAAAAAAACAAACTTATTTTGAAAAAATAAAATACAGTTGCGTTGGCACCGCTCCATGTGATAGTGGAGAGATACATGCTTATTGGTCTGACTGCACAATTTATCACAATAATGCTGATAATTCAACAGGACCTCACCTCGGCCATGCTTTGATTTCTTTAAAAGCTGTAAAGTTTCATTAAAATACTCCTTTTTTTCTTTTCTATTTTTTCCTTTCTAAATAAGAATTTCTCTGTGGCTTATTTGCAAATGCCAGTTAAATCATGAGTTTTAATATAGAATTCAGAGAGCTTTTTTCAAATAGCATTTTATTAATTCTTTTCCATTTTTTTTTTCTTCTGCCTCTCATTTCAGAACGGTTTGATCACCACTGTCCCTGGGTAGGCAACTGTGTGGGGAAAAGAAACTACAGATTTTTTTATATGTTTATTTTATCTCTGTCCTTTCTGACAGTCTTTATATTTGCATTCGTTATCACCCACGTCATCCTTCGTAAGTATGCTGGTGAAATCAGATTACGTATGTAGCCATTTGCTTGAGTTTTTTATTTTTAAGTTAATCTTTTGATCATTCAGGGTTTGTTTATTTATTTGTTTATTTGCCTTTTCTCTGAAGCTTCACAATCCCCAGTGAGTCCCATTCTGGTCTATAAGCAGACCTTGGTCATGGTAGTCATTGATATAACACTGGCTTTGTCTTAATACGGTCTTAATTTCCTCAATTTCTTTGTCCTTTTATGGATGATAAATTGGAAAAGCAGCACACATACTGTATGTCTAAGTATACAGATAGCGTCATTTTCCCAAAGACCTTTTGTGTGCTTTTTTTTTTAACTCTAAGCAGGAGTCACTTGCCATCCAAACAAAGCAGGTAAATTACTAGGAAATAGATTGGAGCTATTTTACACTTTTTGTTGTTTGCTGTTTAGTTTTACATCTTTCTCTACCCTATTTTTAACACAAGTTACTTTCATTTGCATAGACATTCTGAGAATAACCAAATCATAGTGGAGTGAATCAAATAAGCTATAGGAAGATAAATATTCATGAGTTTGATTTTTATTTGTGTTCTGGATTGGGTTTGAAGTTAAGACTCTTTTGGGTACTGTCTCTTTTTTTTTTCCACACCCCTAATAAATTTTGTTAGCTCCTATATGATGATGATGATCTAATTTATGGTGATAGGTTATATGGCTTGTTTTTAAACACCTTTTGTATGTTGTGGGGGTTTCTTAACCCACTATCACTAGGAAGCTTAAGAGTGTTCTATCTTTTCACTAATTCTATAGGATATTGCCTTGAGGAGTGTTTGTTTAATCATTTTGGAAATGTGATATTTTTATTTTTTTGTATTCCATATTACAATGGAAACCTAATAGAACTAATAATTTCAATTTATAATGCGTTTATGAAGCTAACTTGATAATGGCAATATTTAGAGAATGTTTTACTGAAAATTATGCCAGTTTGTACTCAATTTCCTAAATTGCTTACAGTGTGCAGGAAAAATTTGTATTTTAAAAAGCAGAACTCCTCTTATTTGTGCTTCACAAAAGAAGGATGTGAGCACTGAGCGGCTCTCCTGTAGCTCGGAAATCTAGCACATAGGCTAGAACTAGGGGCACCTAATTTTGAGGGAGTCTGGATTGACACATTCTTCTCACAGCCAGATACATCATTTCTAATACCAGTTGAAAGAGCAGAGATAAGATGTACATATTGTTTTAAAACAGAGAAGTAATTGTTGGGAAGAGGACACTTTTCATTAATACTTAAATTGTTGATATTGGAGTCTGGATTGACACATTCTTCTCACAGCCAGATACATCATTTCTAATACCAGTTGAAAGAGCAGAGATAAGATGTACATATTGTTTTAAAACAGAGAAGTAATTGTTGGGAAGAGGACACTTCATTAATACTTAAATCGTTGATATTTATTTGGGCATATGTGAGTATATACATATGTACCTTTTACATTTAAGAAGGAGGAAACATGGATTTTTTTCTGTCATCTTACTTTGCTAGAATTCAGTAGTTGAAAATGTTACCAGTCCAACAATGTAGAGCTACTTTTGAAGCTAGCCTACCTGTATTTCACAAAGACTACAGTGCTTTTTTTCTTTCGTTTTCAGCATATGAATTACCAATATTATGCCAATATTTCATGTTCTGTATGTCAAGTAGATTTATCCAGTGGATTTTAACTTTACAGTGTCCATAACTAATTCTAAGTATGAATCAGACAAAGAGCAGAGAAATTAATTGTGCCTCTGTGTGGTTGAGAAGCACTTTAGCATTGTGTAGGTATTACAGATAATGTATAGTAAATGTTAAATGCTGAATTGTCTAAGTATATCAGCTGTAAAATATTCTTTCTATGGAGTTTTATCTGCCTTGGGTAGGACAGGAAAAACCTCCTTAGTTCTAAAGATTGATTGGTCCTCAAAGGCAATGGGAGCAGGTATGAATTGTGATTAGTTCCTCAATGTTTATTTGCTACATTTGAGCTTCAATCCCAGCTTTCAAATTTATCTATCATCTTGACTGTGTCCAAAAAAAGAGCTCTTTATGACTAAGGTTTTCTTATCATATCAATCACTCCACTCTGTGCCTACCACGCTTCTAGAAGTCTTCATATCTACCTTTCTAATAGTTACCACTCAACCATTTTTGTTCTGTTTTGCAACCCTGCAGTGCTTCAGCTGATGCTAAGCAGTAAGCAGGTTTCTCGGTTACTTAATCTGAACCTTTGCACTTGGCATAGACTGCTTTGTGTTAGCATGTCTGAATAAAGTCTCAGTTTTTAGACCTGGGGCTATGATCTTCCTGCAGTGTTTCAAAGACATCCATATGTATTTCCGTAAGTCCTGGCAAAGTTCTTGATTCTAGAGGAAGTCCTGCTGACTTAGTCAAATCCTGGTCTTAGCTTTTCTGAAGACAATCCTAGCAGGATTACCTTCAGCAGCACTTTATTCTAGATATCCTTTGTTAGACTGAATGCCTCCAGACAATATTCTTTTAGGAAGGGACTGAGGGATATTTATAGCAACTTGTAGGCATTGATTTTTTTTTAAAGAAAAATCCTCTTTAGTTTATCCTAATAGGGAAGTTCTTTCTCCGACCCTGGTGATTACATAGGAAACTTGTTGGTTTTTTTAATGTCTCTTGATTTAGACAAATTTTGAAATTTGTATCATGTTTTAATCCATCTTGCGAGCTGGCATTTTTATAATTTTTGGTGGGCTTAAGTGGTGATGAGATACGAGATACATCTTAACTTTTCTGTGGCCTTCTGAGGCACCCATGGGAAATTTGCCTTTTCCCACATTAAGAATAAGTGCACGTAATATCATTGAAGATAATAAAATGAATTTGTAAATCAGATACTTTAAAGGTCTTGCAAGGTTTCCTTCCATCTCCCCGAGCTTAACACCTTTTCAGTAGTGGTGTCTGCCTTCACAGTTACTCAGCTCTGTTTGAGGCATCAGTATCTCAACTGTTTGTTGCAGTGAGGAACCTTCCCCTTCTGATGTATTGGGAACTGCTTGGAAGAGTGTGACCAGCGGTAGGGAATAAAGATCACACCTACCTGCTCCCATTGCCATTAAGGATCCTAAAAATAGTAAGAAGGTAGGGGAAGTTCCATTAGTCTTGTGCCTTGAGTCTAAGAACCAGTTATGAGAGTCTGAAAAGGCTCAGAAGTAGAAGGTAAGTAACTCTCCTTTTTTAATGGCAAACAGTAAAATTGACCAGGCAGGCCTAGAGAATATATATATGTGTATTCACACACAAATATATATTTGTCTTTTTTGTTTTAAAGACAAGATTCTTCTCTCTTCATACAAATCTTCAAATGGATGTAGCTAAGGGCAAAATTTTTCCTGTGAATTGCAACCTTATGCATTTAAATCATTTAAGTTGTACAGTAAAATGCAAACTATGTACCTATAGCTATGTGATACTGAGTCAGTTTCTACAAACTAATTCACTTGTTGCAATCAGCAAATTGTCAAATTACCCTTTTGGGTTAATATCTCATGGTTGTGGAACCCAAATAGATGCTTTTACATCTCTAGTTCATTGGATCATGCTGCTCTTGAGCTCTTCAGCTAGTAGATATTCTCCTATTTGCCGAGAGGCAACAAGCACCTATTAGAAAAACCTTCTGTGCAGGTGCAGTAGGAGCAGGATTACAGTCCAGGGAACTTTGGCTGCTTCCAGAACAAAGGAGAGAAAGTTGAGAATCTGGGCTTATAGAATAAATCTTTGAAGTTAAAAAGTTACTTTGAAAAACAGTATTTCAAAATAGAAAAGTAGCTTATAATGTTTGTTTCCATAATAGGTCTGAGAAGAACAGGGATAATCAGAAATCTTGTTCATGGGAAAGTATGCGTGCATTAATTTGGTATGACTGAAAAAATAGCCTAAACACGTTAGACCTGATAATTTACCCAAGGCTTTTTTCTGATGTTGCTGCTGAGAAACATATTCTCAGATTCATATTAGTAAATCTGTTCTATGATTATTTAGTTATCTTCAAATATTAATTGTGTTAACTATGGTGAAAACAACCTCTAGTCCAATTTCTTACTCAGCTGGTAATTTTGGGTTCTGTTTCTACAGGTTCTCAACAAACAGGGTTCCTCAATGCCCTGAAGGACAGTCCTGCAAGATATCCTTTCACTGAAACAAATTATAGATCTTGTTGCAAAATAACATCCGAGATGTATTTTTGTTTGTTTTCTCGCTGTTGTTGTATACGTGCATTTGGGACCTTATCAGTTAATGATTTCATCACTTCTTGCACAATAGGATTTCTAGCCACATGTTGGAGGTAGGAAAGAGACTATAGCCTGCGGTGGTTTTTGTTCTTCATCTTTTGCAGAGTAATACTCTTGGCAAAGATCTGTAGTTTCCGTGTGTGATGGAAATATGCTCCATACATTTGTGATTGAATTCATAACTATATCTCACCCTATACCACGCCGTGATTTCATTTAAAATATTCAATAATTCTTCTGCTTTTACAACAGAAAGTATCCAAAATGGCTGATTCCTGCCAGGATAAAAAAAGTAGATTATGGAACAACTGAAAACATAAGCTGTCCCTGAAGAGTTCAATTCCTGAAAGCATTCTTATGTTGATTTACTGTTTGTTTGTTTTTTTTTTTTAGAGAAGTCATTCTGAAGTAGCAACTTCTGTTAAGTTACTTAAAAGTATACACGTGCATACACAGGGACTGCTATTGTTGTTCACCCTGGAGAAGAGAAGACTCTGGGGGGATCTCGTTGTGGTCTTTCAATATATAAAGAGGGCTCATAAGAAAGTGTACTGGTTTTGGCTGGCATAGAATTAACTTTCTTCCTAGTAACTGGTACAGTGCTGTATTTTTTGGATTCAGTGTGAGATTACTGTTGATAACGCACTGATGTTTTAGTTGTTGCTAAGTAGTGCTTACTCTAAGTCAAGGGCTTCTCAGTTTCCCATGCTCTGCTGACAAGGAGGGGCACAAGAAGCTGGGAGGGAGCACAGCCAGGACAGCTGACCCGAACCAGCCCAAGGGATATGCCATACCATAGAACGGCACGGCCATGACAGAAACTGAGGGGAGGTGGCCAGGGGCGGCCGATCGCTGCTTGGGGACGGGCTGGGCATCGGTCAGGGGGTGGTGAGCAATTGTATTGTGCATCTCTTGTTTGGTTTTTTCCTTGAGTTTTATTCTTCTCTCTCTCTGTTATCTTTCTTTTTGTTACTGTTGTTGTTGTTGTTGTTGTTGTTGTTTACTTCAGTTACTAAACTGTTCTTACCTCAACCCACAGGCTTTACCTTCCCCATCCCTCTGTTGGGGGCTGGGGCAGGGAGAAGTGAGCGAGCAGCTGCATGGTGCTTAGTTGCCGGCTGAGGTTAAACCATGACAGAAAGCCATAGAGAAACTTTTTACCAGGGCCTGTAGTGATAGGACAAGGGGCAATGGCTTTAAACTGGAAGAGGGAAGATTTAGATGAGATATTAAGGAAGAAATTCTTGACTGTGAGGGTGGTGAGGCAGTGGCAGAGGTTGCCCAGAGCAGCTGGGGCTGGCCCCCCCCCCGGAGGGTTTGAGTGGATGGGGCTGTGAGCAACCTGGTCTGGTGGGAGGTGTCCCTGCCCATGGCAGGGGGTTGGAACTGGGTCAGCTTTAAGGGCCCTTCCAACCCGACCATTCTGTGATTCTATTCTATAAATACTCCATGTTCTTTTTACCACTTCATGGGAGCTTTCTGTATATTTTCTACTCAATGAGAATGGAAAAGTCTCCTCCTGTCTGAAAGCAGCTACCATAATGGAAAAATGGGAAGCTGACATAACTACTGTTTAGTTTCTTCCTTACATTTCTGTATAGACTGTAACCTTCCCACTCCTTATGTATATGTTTTGAATGGCTTGTGTCTGAATAAACAGTTTGCATCTCTCGCAAAGATACTATAAAAATAATTCTTTCTCGTACTTGTGCCGAGGAAAAGTCTCTTGTCCGTTGTGCCTTGCACAGTTTGCTGTTTTCCACAGAGGAGTAGGAAGAAAAAACTCTTACTCTGTCATTTGTAGTTGTGCATAAGGACAGACGTCTCTTGCCCGGTAGTTTTTCCAAGTGTCAAATTCTCCAAATTCTGCAGATACAATTTTTTGTGTGCGTGTTCATCAGGTAGAGTCACTGAGCTGTAAACTCCCTTTTTAAACAAAACCGCTGTACAGATTTTTTTTTTTTGTAAAAATAGTTTTACAAAGCACAAATGAACTGTTCTAAATAGCACAACAATAGCTTCCAATTAAAACAATTACAATCACTTCTTACAAAAGGTTATTTTTTCTAACTATATTTTCAAACTGAGAATAGCTTTCGGTTGTCCTTAAGTGAAGAGGTAATAGATTATGCATTTGAGGATCCTTGTACAGGAACAGGCTGCTTATTCATAATTTGTATTCAGAGATGTGCTGCTTGGAAAGGCTCAGTAGCACATCTTGTAGAAATAGCCTGGTTTGATGGTGATATGTTGGACAATTTAATAGCTAGGTTACAATTCCCAACCGGAAAAAATTAAATTGTCCAAATAGTATTGGGAATGCTGCTTTGGAGCAAGCCAGTCAATTCAGGCACAGAGACCATTGCCACTTCTGTCTTGCTAATAACCCTGTGTAGACACCAAGGGAATGTTATACCATATTATGCTAGTAAGTTATATTTTATGTTGAGAATATATTGCTTTTTTGTGTTTGGTTTTTAATTGATGGACTCGTGTTTAATTAATGGAGTCATGTTAATCTAACATAAACCACCCCTGCTCTTCTAGAGATCTTTTGGGATCTTGGTGTGGGTAACTGAAAGAAGTCTTTTCCTTGGGGAAAGAAGTCCCTTTCAGAGGGAAACTGAAAGAGGTCTTGAACTGCAAGGAATTCCTTTTTTCTGTCAGTAGGAATTACTGTGTGGAGGGAGAAACGCACTTTTCAGGACCGTCTTCAGTGTAGTCATGGCAAGGAACATCCTATTAGTGGTGTGCTCAGCCATCTGATGAGGCTGCGGAGTGCCCCTTCTCCCTCCCTCCCCTTTTCTGACCTGATGACTCTTCCTCTTAGTCTTGGTGCGTAGATTGTACCCAACAGTGCTCGTCTACAACCTTCCTTATTATATTTCTACCCTCTCAAAGCCTGGTTTGTATTGTGTGTTATGTTTTGGGGCCTTTTCCTCCTTTTACACCTTTCTGATCCCCCGCTAACAGCAGTCTTATTTCTTTATCCATTCTCCCTCATTCTTCTTGTTTTACCTGTGGCTCTTGTACAGTCAACCGAGACCGAGTTCCTATCTTGTGTTCGTTTGACTCCACATAGTTTGGGGAGGAGATGAGAGGGAGAGGGTAGCGAACATGCTGCTCCACAATGCGCTTTGGTCATCCTGCTGCTTTTGGAGCAGATTTGCTCAGCATGCAAATGGATCTTTTCTGACTTTTAAACCACGCTGAGTGAAGTAGGTTCTAGGGGAAGTTATACAGACAATTCAGGCATTGCCCAATTCATGAGGTGAGAGCAGACCTGCAATACAGAACTCGTCACTATTAACTAATACTAGGATTATTTATTGCAAATACTTCTGTCCATCCATGCATTTTCCAGTCTGTATCTCTGTATAATGGTGAGGAGCTGTCATATTTCTCTTCTATTGATAGATTCTGATAAGGATGTTTTTGTATTTTTTAAAGCTGTGTCCTTGTTCTGTAATATTTTGAGTTGATGTTGTCTTGGAAACTGACTTCACTAAAGGTTGATATGTGGTTAATATACAGATTATTTTTATCCTATTCTTTTCCATTTTCTTGTTCATACTGATTTATTGTATCTGTTTTTCTAGGAACCAAAGCCTTTTCTGCTGTTGATTCATGTTCCCTAAATAAAATTTACTATTGAAGTGTTGCAGAAAATAACATTCTCAAAGCAGATGTATTCTGAGTTCATGGCTATTGTGTGTAAATAAAAATATATAAAAATAAAAAACTATGACAAGAAGCCTTCTATAGCAAGTTGCTCTTTATGCTTGAGTATATAAAGTTTAGAAGTGACTTTATTGTCTTCTTGCTGAGATGATGACTCCTTTATACAGAAAGGAATGATATAACCTGTAGTAAGTAAGCAACACTGAGTGCTGACTGACTTTCCTGGTATACCAGTCTCACTTTTAAAGCCTGGTTACTTCTTTATGGCATTTGGGTTATGCAGTTTATAAGGAGTGAGAACAGAGGTAGTTTAAAAATCATATGCACACCTTCACTACCCTCTTGGAGGTCTGTGTGTACCTGTGCTGCTCCCTACAACATGCAGGTGAGAAGGCATCCCATGGGCTCACATAGGTGTACCTCAGGTGCAAGTCCCTATAAGTTCCACCCCATACTGGCAGTCTGCTGTCTGGATGCAGGCTACTAACAGCGTTTGAGAGGGAGAGTGCTCTGTCTGGGCTAGGCAGATGCCAGTAGAGTGACTTGTGGCTGTACCAAACCAAACCTTGACTGCTGTGGTCCCACTTTAAGTTCTCTTCTGCCATTTTTTGTGATTTTCTTACAATCTGGGCTGATGCCTCCTTCAAAAAGTCATCTTGTCATTCCTCAGCTACTGTTTAATAGCAGCACAGCAAGTTGGGACTTGATGATCTTCCTCTAACATGGTAAATTTTGGGCAAGTGCTGCTGAGTTGTGAGTATTCAACCCCACCCCAACTATCTATGCTCGCAGGCTTGACAGGAGTTGTTATCCAGGCCATTTGCCAAGCCTGGGCCATTCGGACACCCCCACTGTTGTAATGTAGAATATATCCAGTTATTAGAGGGACCTGAGAGAGTGAGTGGACTTCATCTTTACTTGGACTAGTGCACTTTGATGCTAGTGTTAAGATCCCTATCAGCATCTTAACTTCAGTAACAGAAGGAAGACTGCTAGCAGAGTCTAGCAGTTAGAACATACGACTGAGATGCAGTTTACTCATTTGTTGTTGCTATATGTATGAGCACAGATCTAGAACTCTTAATCCTGGCTCAGGACTCCCATTGTGCACTAAATATTAGTACAAAAATATCTATTCAGTCTTTGCTATTTGGCTAGCCTTGGGTTACGTCTCTTGTGTTTGATCTTCCCCTCACCCCATCAGAACTGTTATTTACTGTTACTGATCAATTTACCTGTCTTAATACAAGTGTGATGAATTTTAACACTTATTAGTAGTTTCTAGCCTTTTTCAATCTGCAGACCCTTAAATATTTGCTGGTGTAGATGCTGTTCAGTGGCCTGTACACTGAAGCCTACTGACAATAGACTTGCTTTTCTGACTTGAATTTTGGTGACCCCTTTGAAGTACCCCAAAGATCTCAAGGGACTTGTGGTCTATAAATTAACTACCCTGAATTTTGTGATTATAACTACTTGTTATTGGATATAATTTTTTTTCCATTTACATATATTTCCTTGACTCTCAATTACTGTGCTGGAAGCTGTGGTGTGTTTTTTCTCAGTATGGTCCATTGTTGGCCTCTCAGGTTTTCACACGTATTTGATCAGCTCCAATCAAACAACAAATGAAGATGTAAGTTCATAGTGTATTTCTGCATATATGTTTCTAAATAGTAATGAGGAGGTTTTTCTCTTGTTATTCTTGAAAAGTCATACCCGCCTGCATAATTTTGTGAATGCCTCAGTAGGAAAGAAGGACGTAACCTGGTCATGCTTGATTCAAAATATCAGAAGAGATCTTTTGGGCTATATTTGTTGTGGCTTGCAGATGTGCTGGTTACATAGTGTGTCCATTATGATTTACACTCACAGGACCTGTATCTTGAAATAGGAAAATATAGAAAAGAGGAGACAAAGAAACAAGTATATTTTATACAGTAGGAAATTAATAAATAATTTTCAGTGTCTTTTTTTCACTGGGAGTCTTAAATATTCTTTGACTCAAAAATTGCTTGCTGTAAAAATTGCAATGTGTGTTGTATTCTCAAAACAAACATTTCATCCTTTTATTTTATTTTTCCTTTGAAATTTCTTTGCCAGTGTGAAGTCTAAAACCTCTGGCAAGGAGTATATCATTGATTTCAAGGTCAACTTTCTAATTTCTACAGTTGTCCTATTTTGCACATAGGTTTCCATGGTTTTGGTGTAGAATTATGCTTAAATGTGTGTGGAGGCTTCGTGTGTCCTCCTCTAAGTAAAAGAAGAAATACAAAATGGATGAAAGGAGGAAATAAAAATAGCTAGGTAGCTAATGGTATAGAAAGCTTGTTGGAATTTAGCAAGTAATCTGACAAATTACTGCGAGTTTAAATTATTTTATCGTAGCTTTCTGTTGTACCTTTTTTTCATCGATATCTGGCAAATACAAATGTAGCATCTTTGGGACTGTCAAACACATATTTTGTTTAAGGTCACAGTTAAAATTATAAATTTTACAATAAATACCAATCAAGCAGAAAAAAAAAACAAAACCACAACTTACCAAGCAGGTTCAGAATGAATTGTGCCTTGGCATCAAGTATCCGAGCAAGTAGCCTAACTTTGAAGAAATCTGCCTCGGTAGTGAGACAGATGAGATACTCTGGTATTCCTTGGTTATTAGGTTTAGGCCAATATTGTCTCTCTAGATGGACCCAGCATGCTTCCACTATCCCCCATGCCCTCTAATAAATGTCTCTCTTGGATTGTTGAAAGTGAGATAGCAGGGAACTACAGTACTGTAACATGTCTGAATTTCAAGTAAACTGTTCAGTAATTTCACTTAAAGCGTACATTTCCGGTTGAATACAGTAAGACATTTTACTTGGCCTCTCAAGTATCTCACAAACAAAAAAGCAAGACTGTCTAAAAGAAAACGTAATACGCGCTAAAAGGCAGTAATGACTGCAGTTGCTTCAAAATATTTTAGGGCCATTTGTGAACTTTAGGGAAGATAATGTTGTATGCTATTGCGCAGCTTGAACTTACCCAAGAGTATGGAAAAGAAGTGCTGTGTTGCTGGCTTTGATGATATGTTGCAATTGAACCTCTTCTGTAGAACATGCCGTAATATTTGTAAAATTAAGCTTAGACCGTTATGTTTAGATGCTGAAATTCCTACTCTGAGTGTATCGATCCTTTGAGATTTTGGGTTGTCTAAATCTACGGAGGTAAAGCATGTGCTTGCTTGTAAGATTTTTAGGATCCAGCCTTTCATAACAGCCCACAGCTCTAAGCTGTTTGGAAAGTGTGATCATGGGTTTTCTCTGGTCTGCCTCTGATGTAAGTAGTATGTTGCTGCTTTGGTAACCCTTAATTTGTTTCAGCCATTTTCTGTATTGTATTATGTGTGATGCATCTCATTCATATCTCTTCAGATTAAAGGATCATGGTCAAATAAAAGAGGTAAAGAAAACTATAATCCATACAGTTATGGCAACATCTTTACTAATTGCTGTGCTGCACTCTGTGGGCCCCTCTCTCCAAGGTAAGAGTATCAAAAGTATTGTTAATATAGATGAAGCCACATGATTATTGATGAAAAAAAATGTTCTTTATGATTGCTTGAGTTTACTCAACAAAAACAAAGTTTTGGTTTACTGTCCATTAGAAGCTTCAATTAATTTTTTTCTTCAGTAGTAAAGAGATAAGTTGGTAAATTGTGGTTAAACTAAGTTTAGTGATCAGATCCTCTAAAATACATTTAAGGTTGACATCTGAAATGAAAATAAACCTGTTTATCTGTTTGAACTTTTACCACTGCACTTAACTTCTAGCGGTAGAAGATTTCTAGTAGCTAGCTGTTGCATGATAGGCAATTTGAAAGTTTATTAAACTGTTACATGTCTAACAAATGTGACGTGAGTTTAGGAGAGTTTAAGAACCTTAATTCTACAACTAGCTTGATAATAGCTCATTTTTGTCTTTTCACTCTGAACCGTTTTATTTAAATGTAATTTTTCTTTATTTATACTACTGTTAACATATATACATTAGCTGAATTTGGTCTTACAGCAAAGCAATTCCAGAGAAAGGATGATGGATTAATTTTTGCTGCATACATTTTCACTTTTGAAATCCGAAATATTTGTATATCTAAGGTTGCAGATGGCTTTTCAGCTGGAACAAAATATAATACAGAGCTAAGACTAGAGAAATAAAACTGGCAGCTGGAAAGACTTAACTCTCTTCTTATTCCAGTGCTCAGTGGTTAGGTAGTTCGTGTTCTACATGTAGAGTAGAGGACCAGCTCTTCTGTAGAGTTTGGCTGAGATCTTGCAGGTTATTTTTGTGGCATACTCATCGGTTGAAGCTGGTTTGCTTTGCCTGGAATTAACGTAGTTATGAATCAGAACTGTCGAGAAGAAAGTAAATGACTTTATAGTCCAGTGGCTAAGGTGTTTCATTGGAAGTGGGATTTCTGTCTTTGCTGTTACGAATATCAGAGGTGGTTCTTCTATGAGCAGCTGAAGGTCCACAGGAGAGACTGCCATCATTTCCTAAGGAGGAGACCACTGAGTTAAGATTTCCACGTACTGGGTTAACACTGTAGTCCTGTGGTGAGAGAGAGTAACCCTGGCTCTGCTTCCTGCCTATATGGATGGTGCCTGAAGCCAACCTTTTAATTCTGCCATTTTGCTTTTCTTAAAAGTATGTGACATAAAAACTCAATGCCATGCTTCAAATTCTTTTGTTTGACTCCAGATGGAAATCTTTATCAAAACTACATCATGTTTCTCAGTATTTGAAATAGCATCTTAGGCTGATGCAAGTAACAGCACACAGTTAGACCAGACTGGCATTGGCTCCTGTGTTTTAACAGAGTTTGCACATTTTTTCCTAAATTCCATGTAGCAGCATAACTTATTTAGATGCTGAAGTGTATGTAGAGTTTCTGCAGGGAGATATTTTGTGACCAATGGTAAAAATTTGCTGACTCTAAAATGCAAATTACAACCTTGCCTTTTTTGACTTTTAATATCAGCTGTGTCCCAAATCACTAAATATTAATTTTTTCCTTAAATTCTCGTTATGTGGTTTAGCAGCAATTACAGCTTAAAATTAAAAATGTTCAAGTGCCTTTGAGAATGGAATGCAGAGTAAGAAAGGATCTGTAAATAATCCAAACTTTTCTCACTTCTGTTAAAGATCATGTTTCTTGTTTTTAAACCTATGCTAGTGAATTCAGAATGCATTTTATGTGTCCTCAACAGTAACTTTCAAGTCTTAATTTTGAATTATTTCAGATCTTAATTTCAAATCTTAATTTGATCCATAGCTGTCAGCGCATAGGTCTAACTAGTGTTCTGATACAATAAATCATATAACTTTTTTAAGCATCTGATTTTTGAAGGAGTGCTTTCCACATGGCAGATTGTAATCTCAGGTGGATTTCTAAGTGTTTTGAATGTACATAAAAACCTGTTCCACAGACCTTCATGAGGAAAGCTTAAACTGGTCTCGAAGTGGTGGAGGCCTCATCAACTTTTGAGAGGGGAAACGCCTTGGATTTTTCTGTGCATCCTGTTCTTACCTTTTAAAATGAAAGCCATCTTGACCTTAGTGAATTTAGAGATCCCATAAATCAGCAAATAAAACTAGTTCCGTGCTGACTTTAGCTCTCAGGTGGTT